ACTCGTGATATGGGCATAGACCCTTTTAAAACAGAAGGAGATAGAGAAAAAGAAAATTCTCCAAAAGTTTCACTGAGTCAGGTGGAGCGCTCCCCATTTAAGTGCATTACTAATGTGGGCAAAAACACTTCCAAAACATGGAAAAGAAAAGAAAGCGTGGACAGAAGCAAGAAGCAGATTCAGGTGCCAAATGTTAATAATGAAGGAGTGAAAAGGAAGATTGATATTGAGATGATTGATGTCACTTCAGTTGCTGACGCCCCAAACAAGAAATTTTGTTACCATGAACTCCCAACGACAGGCCTGGAAGACCAGGCTGGCCGAGCACAATGAAACTCTTAGCTTGGAATTGTCGTGGGCTTGGGAACCCACGTGCAGTAAGAGTTTTTAAGAAGCTTGTGATTACTAAGTTTCCCAAGGCGGTCTTCTTAATGGAGACTAGAAAGAAGGACAGCAAAATGATGAAATTCAGAAACGTTGGTGGCTTAACAAATATATTTGTAGTTAGTTGTAAGGGGGAAAGGAGGGAACATAGTGGTGGTCTTGCTCTTTTGTGGTAATATGATGTGAAAATTGAAATTGCATCTTCTTCTTTACATCACATTGATTTCAAGACTTCTTTAGATGATGGTGAAACGTGGTGGAGAGGCACAGGCTTATATGGTTACCCGAAAAGCTCAAATAAATATAGAACATGTGAGCTGATGATGGAACTAGCTGTTGGGATACAAATAAGTCTCACATCGATAAAATATGACAAATAATAACAACTTATATAATACAAACATACTTCAATGATCGAGAGGCCTTTTGGGTGATGACCAAAAGCAAAACCGTGAGGGCTAAGTCCCAAAGCGGATAATATCTCATCATTGTGGAGTATGTTTGTGTAATAACCTTATAAAAAAATAAATAACTCATAAAATATCCTCTCAGACAAATACCATAAAATAACCCCATCACTAGCAAACCTATCAACTAGGCTGAGATGGATGTGCTTTGGAGATTTCAATTTAATTACTGGTAAGAAGGAGAAGCAAGGGGTAGTCCTCCCACCTCTCACGTGCTGAATCTCTTCCGTAATGCAACTCATGATTTTGAACTTGTTGATCTGGGATATGAGGGTAGTCTTTTCACATGGGGTAATGGCTAGTCTAGGGAAGACAGAATGATGGCTTCACAAGATTGGGTATCTTCCTTCCCAGAGGCAAAAGTGTATCACTTAAACAGGTACCACTCTGACCATAATCCCTTACTACTAGAGAAGAACCTTCTCCCAGCTATGAATCGCAGGAGACGAATTCCAAGATCGTTCGTTTTGAAGAAACATGGACGCAAGAGAAGAACCTTCCTGCTCGCGTCTCTCAGGCCTGGAATACTAACTATGGAGATCTCCCAACCAAAATCCAATTCTGCTTGTCATCTCTGGATAAATAGGGAGATGAGGTCTTCAGAGACATCCCCAAAATGATCAAGCAATGCCAAAAAGACTTGCAACGCCTTTACCAAAAAAAAAAATGAACCGGAGGCTTCTAAGCTTATTAGGAAAAATGAAGAGAAGTTAGACCAGCTTCTGATACCTGAAGAAATTTTTTGGCAGCAGCGCAGTAGAGTTTCGTGGCTTCATCATGTAGACCGTAACTCTAAGTTTTTCCACCAAAAAGCTAATCAAAGGAGAGACAGAAAGTGGATAGACTCTATTCATGATAATGATACGAAGCACGGATACTTCAATTTGTTTCACGTATTCGTATCCGATACGTATCCGACACGATACTCTTAGATACTTCACCGATACGTGTCAATGAAGTATCCTACTAGCCTTTAAAAATATTATAAAAAATTTATTCAATTTTGATACTTTCAGATACTTCACCGATACTTATTAGAGTAATACGTATCGATAAAGTGTTCAAATTTTTGAAAAAATTATGAAATATCCATTACAGCTAAATAAGATATATAAACATGTTTAATATAAAAACATAGAACTATTGGTCCTTGCTGAACTATAAATGAAAATTGTCTTCTATATAGATAATTTTAAGAAAGGAATGAAATTGGTAATATTAATTCTATTTGCAAATAATAAAAAGTAATTTATGATGAAATGATTTATAATTTATTTACTTTTAGTAATGTACAATAAATATGTTTTTAATTTGGATTTGCAAAATAGCTATTATATATTAAATATTTATGAATTTTGATCAAAATTACAAATACACATTTATTATATTGTATGAACATTGATATATATGATGACACGTATCTTACAAGTATCGTATCTTATATATTTTTAAATAATCGTATCGCCGTATCGGATACGTGTCGTATCCGATATGCGTATCGTATCGGTGCATCATATCCACCCTTGCTGGTTACATATCGTATTACACTTGCATCATCTGAGCATCCGAGTTTGACATTTGACGTGCGGCACGTATGAGGTCACAAATATGGTTGTAATTGAAGCAGAATGAGGCCACGAGTAAAAGGAGGAGGTTGATGATATACCAACATATGTCAGGCACGAGAATCCACAGTAGTGTTTGACATGAAAGTATTCCGAACATGTGGAATATGAAAAAAGTGGTTGGTAAGGTCATATCAGCTGTGGATGCAAGTACATGGCAAGACATGGATGTGAGGAAAAGCACAGTACTTGGGGTTGAATGTTGGAAGGGGTTGTTGTTTGAGCCTTCATACTTAATTCCAATTGAGGTAAGCATGAAGGCCATGAGAATAGTGTAAGCTTTAGGCTTCATTCTTGTGTTGGGTTGAGGGGAAGAGAAACAAATTTGGGTTGTATTGGTAGTTGAGTTGGCTGTAAAAGGATCTTCTATTTAAACAGGGATAAGGATGCATAGTTGTAGACATTGGACCAGAAATCAAACATGTTTAGATACTGCCAAAACGTCAACAGAGACCCACAATGTCAACATCTTGACAGTGACGAGCGAAAAGAAACAAACTACTGTGTCATGCATGATAGATATTTGATTGATTAAAAAGTCGTTTTCAAGTCGACACACTTTTTAGTATTGGTAGTTTAGTTGTCTGAAATTGCAAAAGGTTCTTCCATTTAAATAGGGGAAAAGAGGTGGTGCTTGCAGGTGAGGGGGACATTTGATATCCAGAGCAAAACCAGGAACCATCCAAATAAAAAATAAAAAGGGAGACATTTGATTGACTTAAAAGTCGTTTTCAGTTGCTGCCTTTGGTACCAACATTAGTATCTCTCTTAATATCATCATTTGACTGATAAGAAAAATGATATATGTGTTGGAAATGATTCCAAATGATTAAAATAATGATTTAAATTATAAAATATTAAATTAAATAATTATTTTATAATAAATTTATTTAAAATATTATTATTTTAATGTTTGAAACGTGATTCGAAAATGTATATCATTGTTCGGCTGATAAATGAAGCAAGTAGTGATGTTTCTGGTGTTTAGCAATAGCCGAAATAACAAAAGTTTGATTTAATTTTAGCTATGAGGGGAATGATGAAAGTAGAATAGGTAAAATTCAAATGTTTCAAGAGTTTACCATCATATTCTTTAACTTTGAAGTGGTAAAATTAAGGTAAATTAATATATTTAAACCGTTAAATTTATAAAAATAAATTAAATTATGACACATGTACAATATATATTTTGATGTATTACAATCTCATTTATGAAAAAGTTAAGATAATTTAATGTATTTAAGTCGTTAAATTTAAAAAAAAAATTAAATTGTGACATATGTACAATATATATTTTGACTTAAATGTACATGTGTTACAATCTGATATATTATTATTATAAATCTAACGATTTAAATGTATTAAGTTACCATAACTTTGTCACCTTAAAGTTAGATAATCCATTTCCCAAAAAATACAATTATTACCAGAACAGAAATGAATCCTCTGACTTTAAGGCGAGAAAGTTGTGGTAACTTAATACATTTAAATTATTAGATTTGTAATAATAGATTAAATTGTGACACATGTATATTTAAGTCAAAATATATATCATACACGTATCACAATTTGATTTATTTTTTTTATAAATTTAATGGCTTAAATATATTTTTTTAAGGAGAAATATATAATGAGTTAATGGTTGTGGATTTTTTTTTGGGGGAAGAGGAGACTGTTTACTTGAGGGTTGTAGAGATTTAATTTAATTTTAAAATATTACTTGAAATTCATTTTTTTTATCATTAAGCAAATATAATTTTATTTATTGGACTTGATAATTCTTTATATAATACATTTCCTTCATGTACTGTACTATACATCAAAGAAATCTACTGTATATGATGTTATTGTACATTTCTAATTCAATTCTTTTAATTTTTAAAAATATGATGTTATATGAAAATAGTTTTATTTATTTTTATTTCTGAAAATTATATAAAAATAATGTATTTTTTAATTGATTGGTTTATCTAATTTAATTTTTTTTTGTCGTGCACTTGAAATGATATTCATTGCTCTATTTTCTTTATGTGCAATATTAATTTAAGTTGCCAATTTTTATGATCATATCAATTGGTTATGGTACTTTATTATTTTATTTTTCCAATTTGACAAAGATGATTAACTAAATTAATTACGAAATCAAATAAAATAAAATCAGAAAACTAATAAAAAAAAACAGTTCTATTTATTGACAAACAATTATAGCACTATTTCACCTAATTCTGAAATTATTTCGCTGATATGTCTCCGTTTTTACTTTTACTGCAAGTTATTAAAAACCCATTTCCTTTTTAAGTTAATTTTAATCCTTATAATTCGGTTATTATGAAGAAGAACCAAAAACACTTAAACCCTTTATTAATTGTATCGTGAGAACTAGGGTTAGATCAAAATCCTCTTTGAATATTTGCGTTTCATACAAATGGAAACAAGGCTTCACTGAAGTAGAGAGAAAAGTGACAACTATTACCCAAATGGTAAACTCAACACGAATGAATTGACTTTGTGAACATCTTTTAAGAAAAACACTTCCATTAAATTGTTGAGGATCCAATTACAGATAGACGAATAGAAAAGCCCAAATTGAGAAACCTTGCACCAAAGATTTATACTGGTTCGGTCACAAACGACCTACATCCAGTCCCCAAGGTATACTTGAGATTTTTTTCACTATCTAGTCAGAATATACAACAATAAACATTTTACACTCTAGAAAATCCTCCTTAAAATTCCACCCATAGATGTCTCATTGAATCACTCCAATCACCTAGCTTCACACTCTTGAAAACCCGAGGGATCACATACCCTCAAAAACTTTGGAAACCCCCTTCCTAGATTAACCAAAACAGTAAGCCAAGAATCACTTGTAATGTGAGATAATCACATTGAAGTTCTACTAGCACTCAATTCAAACTGTGTAGGCTCGAGAGCATGCTCCTATACATGACCCAACATTGCCACCAACTGCAGAAGATTATACAATAGTATTTAATAAGTCATGTGATATCATCAAAAGCATCTCATAACGAGTTCTTTACAACATCATATAACTTAAAACATGCACATATAGTCATATTGCGGATAAATAGTCATTCCACAATTGATTACCTTATATTAGTCTGTCAAGTAGAAACTACTTCTGAAAAATAGAATGATCCCTTTTGAGGAGAGAAAATCATCTTGCAAACTTTTCCAATCAACAACACCTGTGGCTAGCTGGTAAGCTTAGTTGTTGAATATTGGAGCAAATAGTTGCAATACTTGCTTCATTGCCGGTAAATACCTAGCCACCTACCAATGCTTATTGTTCAACACAACAGTTGTTAAGAAATTTTAAAAAGCAAGACAAATTTAGAAAATTAGCTAGAGAAAATATAGTTTCAATCCACACCTAAGGCTAAAGCCAAAAGGAAATTCAGAAAAATGTCATATTGATAATGGTTAATTTTGCATAGAGAAAACTCCCCTACAATATTAACATAAAAGAAAGTATAGCCATATAAATAAAAATTATTTTATGAATTTAGGCGTACAGATCCCGTGAGTGATAGAAACAGCCAAACAGGTATCCCAAAAAAAGGGGGACGGCCTAGTGCATGAGGACCTTGCCATTGTGGGGTCTGGTATCTCCTAATAAATGGAAAGTAATATGGCAAATGGTCGTGAACAAAGTGATGAAATCAAACCAGCGTTAAAAATAGGTGAATTTTAATCAACTTTAAGGCTTTTCTTGAGTTCCTGTAGCAGCTACATAAAGCTAAAAAAAGATGTGATTATTATAAGATTGCCAAAGTGCAAATTTTACTTCTTATAAAATAAGTTTTAAAGGAAACAAACGTTATATAAATAGCTATCATCATAAGTAACTAGATATGTGCAGGATATTCAGTTAATAAAACCTTAGGCTAGTGAAAACAATAAATATGATAAATGGATTACAACATAGGTAAGAAGAGAAGCCTCTGAGTTATAAGTTGTGAGTAAAACCAGCAACACTTGTAGCATTCTGAAAAATCAAAAGCGAACAGGCATGTTAAATTCAAAGTTGAAGTCCAACAAAAACTGCAGATATTACCTGAAAAACCTTTTACCATATGGTGGTATTTCCTTTCTCAAACTCTACATGAAGCTTTCTTTGAAGCCAATTTTTTTGTTTCTTTTTATCCACCCAAGCACCAGATTTCGATTCCTTCTGTATGACAAGCTGTACATGCAACACATTTTTTTTTGTTTTTGGGCAGGTATATGATGAATTGCCAGTACTTCTCTTACCATCTTCACATCTAGAAATGGTGAATTGTTACAGCTTCTCTTGCCATCATCACATCAAGAGATAAGTGGTGAATTGCCACAACTTTTATTGCCCTCTTCACATCAAGAGGAATTGCTGCCATCTACAGTGAGAACTGTTGATGTGGCCAACACAAATGGGCCGGAAGCAGAGGCTTTTGGGCAGAATACATCAAAAGCTGAATATACTGCATTTAGCAAGGTAGTGTCAATCGAAGTGATTAAGTTGAAATTTACACATGATTTCATTTTTATTTGGAACACAAATTTTTCTGTCTCAAGAATTAAGGGAGAGATAAAATGATCAAGGAGAAAGAAAGATTGATCTCATTCATTAATTGATTTTCTCTGTAAAATGATCTATATATATCAAACATCAGACAGGGAATCAGACAGGATCTTAGCTAACTAACAAATCTGATAAAACCAAATCTAAACTAACATTTAATAACTACTAACTGAAAACTGTTCAGACTGAAACTGATAAAGATTGTACTCGTGGCCATTAATAGGACAATAATTCATAGAAGAAGTAATATTGTGATTGCTCTTCCTTTTCCTCACACAAAAATTCAACCATTGGAACAACAAAAACCTGTTACATCACACATTCTGATATTAAATTACAAATATTAAACTAATGAAGTTATCATAATGCTAACCTGCAATTCAAGTCAAACCCTTCAACAAAATCTCTTTTGCTTCTATTTTTATTTATTTATGGTGATATAGGCTAAAATAGAATTTTGGTTCCCCATTTTAATTTTTAGTTTCAGTTTAGTTCCCTAAGTTTAAAAAGTTGTACTTTACTCCCGAAAATTATCTCTGTTAGCAAAATTAGCCTATCCGAGTTTTGTTAATATTTTGTACTAGTGGTGTTAATTTTGACTGATGTGACATCCCTCAGTTTTCCTCATGTCACCAAGTTAATTAAATAAGTATTATAAACTAAAGAAAGGACCAACTTAGTCTAATGGAGACACTTTAAGGGACCAAAGTAAAACCTTTTAAATTTTAAGGACCAAACTGAAACAAAAGATTATAATAAAAGACCAAAATTCTATTTTAGCCAGTAATATAAGCTTAGTAGGGACTTAAGTATTCTGTTCATGCATGTTAGAATTTTAGAATTGGTTTTTTTCTTGAATATGTATCTTATCCTTTCAATCAGTAATGAAAAAGATTTACCCTTTACCGAAAGATGTGAAAAAGTAAGTAGTATCAATCAGAATAAAAGATGTCAAAAATTAAAAATGTAACCACAATGAATTTTAAACATAGAATAACAGAAGAGAGTAGATGATTCCATCAGTAAACTAGCAAAGTAAGCATTATCATGAGATAAATTAGTTATAGTAAAGCTGAAAGTAAAAGTTAAGAGAACCTTGTATAAGTGTGAGACACATTATTGAAGTCATAGGAGACAAATTAGCGTTAGCTCTAAACAGCTGCTTGCCTGCTGCAAAGAGATGATTTACAAAGTAGGAATCTAAGAGAGTCAACATCTAACGCCTCCTTTGTTCCTTAATTTTAGCATGTAACTGAAGGAAAATAAAAAGGCTTTTGGTAACCGAAGGATCTCCAAAATGCTGCAGAGAAGGCAAAAGAAATGGGCTGAGTTAGGTGCCAAGGATGCATTTGATTCACTAAATGTCAAATCAAACAAAAGCATGAGTTGACAAATTATTATTGAAGATTAAGCTAACTAAGAAGTTGAAGTGTTAATTCTGAAGCTCTCACTTCGGTCTTTATATAATACTAGTGAAAAGAAATACTTCGTGGCTCTGTATTTTATTTAAATAAAAATAACAAATGAGAAAGAAAAGGGAAGTTAAAATAAGAGAAGTGGTCAGTTATAGTAGGAAAGAAAAAACGGTCTAATCAAAATCTGTACACAAAATAATAGAATTGTCTTTATTAATAGCATAGATAAAAAAATTACAAACAAAGGAATTCCTCAAGGTAAAAATTTTACCAAATAATTGGCCTTTCAAACTCATTATATTAGAAAGAAAAAAGAAGAAAAAACTTCCAATATTTGTTCAGGATAACAAGCCAACCTCTTAATACCAGGGATAATCTATTCTTGTTTCATTCTCCTGCTGAGAGATCAGGAGCCTACTTGGGTTTTGCTGGCATTGGTATACAAACTTCATAATAAAATTGGGCACTTGAAAATTTCTTTTCTAGCTGAATAAATTAGCTTGGAAGCTTTTCTTTCTGCTGGTTGTACACCACAAATTAGCTTGGACACCTCTGTTGCTGACAATTGCTCCTTGCTGCAGAAACATAACAGGAGAAATGCAATCAATAAGAGATCCAGGAAAGTGCAAAAAAATAGGAAGCAATACCATATATGTTGCTTCAACAGCATTGAAATGCATTAACAAAAAGTAAGCCACATTCATCTCAGTTTCTTACTCTGCTTGATGCGGTGCTTTTACATCTTCAAAGCAATAAATATGAAAATAAATGGGTTGTTTCCCAAAAAAGGAGGGGATCTTGGTTTTGATGGTTTTAAATACTCTCTACATATATATTATTCAAAATCAAACAAGGAATTAATGGTACAAAAGAGGATAATATATCCTCCTTAAAAAAACATAAAGAACTAATTTAAAACCAGAAAAAGGTAGTAAAGATATATACATAACTAAAAAGGAAATCCTCTTAAAAGAAATCATGGACAGAACCAATGGTAGACAAATTTTATAGAGCCCTATCTATAAACATTTCCTTCAGAGGCCTTTTTGCATTATAATTGAAGGTAGTTTACTTTTTATATACCAATTGGTATCAAAACCTAGTATTTCAACCACATGCTACTTATATTGTGCACATTATGTGGTGCATACTTTGTTGAGCCTTAGGAAACATACTGGTGAATGTCCAGGATAGAAGACCATCAATAAAACAACTATAAAAAATACATGTTAATTCCAGAGGCATGATCCCCAAAGACTGCCATGTATCCAGGGTACACACCTCAGACCACATTTGTGTCTGGCACCATGACACAGATACTCAAAGGTGCCTAGAGGTGTGGCCGAGACCCCTGCTCAAACCCAAAGATTCCCTCTGATATAGTTTCCCAGGAAGTGTGCATCATGAGGACCACCTGGTCCCTTTAATAGGAGGCATCCCCTTTAAAGTATCAATGCCCCTTTTTTGTCATAACCCCTTGCAGGATGTCACTTCAGGCATTAAGATAGGGACCCCCTAAAGCACCCTGATCATTGATCCAAAGAAAAGCAGCACATATCCGAGGGTTGGCCACATTCCATTCTAAAATATTACATGATACAATGTGTTTTTAAGGTAACAAAGCATGCAATCAAATTGCACAATTGATTATTATTTGTTGTCGATAACTCCACCTTTTATATGTCAACGATTTCAACTATATAGAAATATCTCTCAAATATATGTATGATTGAGTGTGTGAACTTTGTCTGTTGTACCTTATTCCTATTTCATTGTAATTATGAAAATTTGTCTTGCAGCCCTTCAGTTGGAACCCAACAAAGAAACATAAATTGGTATCTTCAAGCACGGAATGTGATTTATTGTATGCAATAATGAATTCCCTTGAGCAAGAGGGATTTGTTATTATGATTTAATCAATGTGCAATACTGCAATGCTATAAATAAGTTTTATCTGTATAATATCATTCTAATTCAGTTTAATATTGTACATTTAGGCTAGTGACCTATACTATCTACTTTAGTGTTTCTGTTTTTCTTTTGTCCTTTTTCGGGGAAATGATGATGTGCAAATGTTGATTGATTTGAGGAAAGGGAAATACATACATCCATAGACTCTAGTTACATGTCTGCTATATAATAATAATGCGTTACATCTTATAAAGTCAACGGAGAGACACAAGATTTGCTCCGGAAATATAATATTATCTCAATTTATAATATCAAGTTAATACACTTGCACATAGTGAATATTTCATGCTGAAATATCTGACAGTTTGTTGGACCGGTCACTTTCATGACAGCTGTACTCTGTAACTAACTCTTTAGTTAGTTACAGAATATTCTAGTCTTTTCTTCTATCCTGAGTTGCTATATGTAGCTGGACTGTCACTGATTGTGCTTTATTTTTATTTTTCATCAATAATACAGTTTGTTTTTCTCTCATTCTTTGAAAGTCAATACATCTCACTGGAGTTAGATTCTATCCTCCAACTCAAGGTCAACTACCCTTCCATATAAATATCTGAACTGTCTCCTTTCTCATAGGTACACACTTGTTCTCAATATTGTTGCTCTCTAGGATTTTTCTTAATTTAGGCATCAAAGTTCTAGCAGGTATCCACCCCACCTTCACTTGAATAGTAACCGTTCATCGGAAAGGCCGTCTACTTTGAATAGAGGTAAGCCCAAGTCAAAGTAAATCAGAACATCATTTATGTTTTTTGACTTTTATTAGGAGAGTTCTACTTGTATGCTCAGAAGATATCTTAATCTAGAGTAAGTTGAGGGAGGATTAATTATCAGCTAGTGTGTATAGATGAAGTTATCATCATAGGAATCGATGAATAATGATAATTTTTAATTTAGGAAACACCTATTACCTTATTCTTAGAGTTGGATGAAGGATTTGCTTCTCCTCGAGTATTTTCTTGCTATTAAGTCATGACAACTGAATTGTTAGAGATAATGTATGAATCCATATTCCAAACCTCTATTTCGACAAGGGAGATTCTATACCTAAACTAAACAAACATATCTTTTGCTTTGTCATTAATTAGTTTGTATATGCTCCACGTGATGGTCATTGGAACATTGTAACCAAATCCTCAAGTTTATCAAAGGATCACTAGCAAAGTTTTTCTAGCATGATTCTTACCATATTGGGTCCTCTCAACCATACATTTCGTGTACTAGATTCCCCATCACACACAAAAAGTGTGCCAGGTTCTTTTTAAAGGAAGTCTTGTGATAATAATGTAAAAGAATCAAGTGATAATAATGTAAAAGAATGAATTGAACTACGTACCTATATAAATTGTGTATCTATACTTGTACCATGTTACTCGTAACTATGAACAATATAAACTAGCTACTAAGTCTATTGCCACTCTTGAAAACTAAATAAGGGCATTATATCATTACTCATGTTCAACTTAAACATTACCTAACACTTCCAATTAAATTCATTTTGTAATGTATTTCAAGGAAACTTAATTTTAAGGCTTTTTTATTTAATTTACGTAAAACATGGCTATTAGTCCATTTGTTAGCTTTGAGGACTTCTTCCCTTGTCATGAAACCTTTTGAGTCTTTTCTCTTTGTTTCCATATGACTTTGCTAGTACCAACCACAGGCTTATTTACATAGATTACCTCCAAACATGGTTTTTAGTCTAGTTGTTAGCACCGAGGGCATTGTTCCTTATCGAGGTATCTATGAGCCTTCCTCATTATTTACATATGACTTTGCATGGACCCAAATGGTGGCTCATATACTTAGTTTAGCTCCAAGCATAGCTATTAGTATAGTCCTTAGCGTTGATAACTTGTTCCCTTACCAAGGCACCTTCAAGTCTTATGTTTTGTTTCCATATGACTTTGCATATTGGAGTTGAACCAATAATTTAGGCCTTACCATGGGGTTATGACTTTGCATATCGGATTTAAATCAATGAATTATTCCTTACCATGGTGTTATTCTACCATTGAGTTAGAAGGGGCCCCTTTGATGTAATCTTAATAAGGCACTAGCCAATATGACCAGTACATCTATTTTTTCAACGTGACTATTTCAAAAATAATCTCACGGATTTATTCACGCTGCGCCTTTTTCTTAGAAAATGGTAATTACGATAGACTACGTCTTCTCTATCTCGATGAAATGGGCGGAATGGCTATCCCAATGCCAAAAATATTCCCAGTAGTCAAACACATCAAGGACTTGATCCTAAGTTTCCACATTTCACTTTTCCACTAAGGAGATTGACTTTGTCTATGACACTTCAAATGTTTTATTCACCCTATGATCATCTTTGTCGTTATTATGTTTGTTGGAAGAATTCCCTTGTTCATAGCCTTCAAGAGTCTTATAAGTATCATAACTCTCCAAAGGAGAGTTCTTTCAGAGTAAGAGATTATGGGAATCGTGAAATGGAGATACAATCATAAATTTGGATCTCAAAGCTCTTATTGAACTCAAAGGAAAGTTCTACAAGGAAACTATATGGCCATCGATGTTCTACAATCATGAGTGTTGGTTGTTGAAGTGTCAATAGAAGAAAGATGTACAATGGAATTAAAAATGTTGAGGTGAAAAAATAAGATCGAGGAACAAATATATCTAGAAGGTTGGGGAAACACTTGTTAAGGAGAAAATGGTGAAGAATTGGCCAAGGTAGTTTGTTCATATGAGAAGAATGCCAATATAGTGTTATCAGAACCGGACTAGTCATCAACTCGATCGAGGTTGGTGGGTTCCTGGTTGAATGTGAGTCACTAGTTGAACTACATGAATCGGCATACATGATATATATATATATTTCTTTGTCACACATTATATTGATAGTGAAAATGGCCCAATGGTAAGTTTGCGGGAAGTGGGTTCAAGGCCTTATCGTAGTTATTCATTTTATTTTGTACTTCAATGATCTTTTACAAAGAGAGTTAGTACAAAACATATGCAGCGGCGCCTCTTTGGGTGATGCGCCTACCTCAAGCCTGGCAAAAGGTGCAGCACACATAAACAAGTGCAACTGGGGCTGCGCATTATACTTATCATTGGTTCGACCAATACCGGATTTACTAGTTTGATCCAATTTCTAGGCGGGTTGATGATGTCATCACTAGGTCAATGCATATCCAATCTAATCATTAAGTCGACCTGCTCATACAATTGTTTCCCAATCGGACCGGTTCAACCGGCCGGTCCGAGCCAGGTTTGATAACACTACAATAGTGTTTTCATAATCCATTAGAATAATTTTGGAGAAACCATAACAAAAAGGACCTTGGTCTAAGTGGATTGATTAAGTATTTTTTTAGTGTTTCATGTATGTATTTCCCTTTTCTCAAATCCATCAACATTACCACATCACCATTTCCCCCCAAAAAGGACAAAAGAAAAACAGAAACAATAAAGTTGATATTATAGGTCACTAGCCTATATGTATAATGTTAAACTGAACTAGAAAGATAGAATTCAAATAAAACTTATTTAGTAGCATTTCAGTATTGCACATTGATTAAACCATAATAACAAATCCTCTTACACAAGGGAATTCATCATTGCAGACAATAAATCACTTTCCATGCTTGAGGATACAGATTTATGTTTCTTCTTTCGATTCCAACTGATGGGCTGCATGCCAAATTTTCCATAATTAGAATGAAATAGGAATAAGGTACAACATACGAAGTTCACTCACACACAAACTAGAGAGAGGGAGAGAGATGTGTGCATATATGTATGTATGTGTGAATAGTTGCAATCATTGACATAATAAAGGAGTCAAGTTATTAACAATAGTACTAATAATCAATCATGTAATTTGATTGCATGCTTTGTTATTTTATAATTTTAAAACTCATTCTATCATCCTTAACCTATACTCAAACTTACATAATATATTTGGTAAATAGATTATCTTGTCACAATGTGTTAATTCAATACGAACATGTGAATTTCTATTTTCATGGACAATTCGGCATTAATTAGGGATAATAACATTGACTTCCCTTGAGATTAGTGTTAATTAGACGTACAACCTTTTTGATTGGAAAATTACATTGATAAGAACCTTGGGGGAACCACACCACAAAAGCTAGTTGTTGTAGTTGGAGAGCCCAAGGCCTTATTAACCCACATTAGAATTTCATACTACCTATGTGAGACTTGAGAGTCTCATGCCTTGCAATTGAAACCTATCATCCCACTACACTACGCAGCCATAGCGCACACGTGGGCTAGCTGTGCACTAGCCCTTTGACTAGTTCCAAGTAAACACTACAATGTTGGTGTCATCACCAATGCCACTCGTTTGCAATTGAGAGACATGATGGAGGATTCTGATACCAATTGATAAGAATGTTGGAAGAACTACACCACAAAAGCTAGTTGTTGTAGTTGGAGAGTCCAAGGCCTTATAAACCCCACATTATAATTTTATAATTCCAATGTGGGGACTCATGTCCCATAACTTGCAACCAGATCCTAATATACACCTACCTCCCTAGCTTTTTATTTTTATTTTTATTTTTTTATATTTTTTTTTAAGGTTACTATAAATGTGGTCTATGCAAAAAAATAATAAATGAGGGAGGTAAGTGTAACTTTCCAAAAATGGGTGCCAACATTAAAATAATATATAACATAAAAGGGAGTCGGGTCCAATTTTTCAACCAAGAGGTTTGTAAGTGTAATAGTGCTAAGCTCAAGGGAGGTCAATTTAATTAGCCCTATTAATAATGCCCCATACTAAATTGTTTCACCAAGAAATCTAGTAGTAACTATGAAAAGTGGCTTATTTCACTTGATAAGGAATACAGTTAAAACTGAATGTACAAACTGCAGTAATAAGATAATGCCAACTGATGCACTCAAGTTAGTTAATCCTAGGAAAAAAGAATTACCCATTGAAGCATCTGTGTCAGTAGTAATGATTCGGAAATGGCTGGAACAATCACTTGTTTCACTTTTGGTATCATCATCCTTCGGTACAGGTGAACCAGCAAATTCATTCATCCCAGTGTTTCCTTCATCTCTTGGCAGCAAATTCTCCTCCATATTTCTGCTGCTCTGTAGCACCAGAAGCACAAGATAATATATGCTTAATATTAAAGGGAATATTAATTCTACTTTTTTTCCTGCCTTTTATTTTATTTAGACAATTAGACAAGGGAATGATTGATGAACAAGCCAATGTTTATATATACATATAGAGACACATGCATATGCAATATTATAGGTTTTATGTTGAGTTTCAAAGGACACTTAAGCTTGACAAACAATGACTAGTAACATATATTTCTAATGGTTACAAAATCATTGGGTAACAAAACTAGAACCAAAAAATAATGGAAGGAAAAAATTCAAAGAATGAGTAGATTAGACCTCTCCATGGACACAATCACAAATTCCAACAACAGATATTTTATTTGAAGAAAAAAAATTGTTATTTTCCAAATAATGTGTGCCATACAAGAAAGTAATGAAGTTTCTTCAACAACTTACAGTATATATACCATAAAAGTAATACATTTATGAGTTAGGGAACATTTTTCTTTGGAGAATAATAAAATAAAATTTCAAAAACTCTTTCAAGAAACTAGGGGAGGAAACAACAATATCTGCGAATTAAATTGAACCAAACATACACTAAATCATCCCTGTTGTGTTACTTGTGTATGATATAGATGGTTTACTACAACAGACTGAGTTCAATTTACAATATAAAATAGACATGACTGGTTAAGTTATACAATGCATTTAATCAGGTTTGGATGATTTTATGATGTATTACCTCTCCTACAGTTGATATGTCAAATAGATTTGGCATTTCTTGTTCAAACAACCAGAATGAATTTAATAAGTTCTCAATCACTGGATCTGTTTCCTGCAAAATATTTGATTAAAACAATCAGTTATGCTATCGATAACAAAAATATTGTATAGAATATGTTTTATTTGTAAAAATACATTGAAACATTGGCAGCTCTGTCGCACAAAATTCTAGCAGATTCTCTTTATGGAATGAGACAATGAAGTATAACCATATGAAATCATGAGTAAATTTGAACTTAACCACTTCCATTGTCAATACCTCAGTGAATGCAGTATATTCAGCTTTTGATGTGTCCTTCTCAAAAGCTTCTGCTTCTGGATCATTTGGTTTGGTCACATCCACTGTTCCCACTGCAGATGTTGGCAATTCCTCTTGATGTGAAGAGGGCAATGAAAGTTGTGGCAATTCACCACTTTTTTGTTGATGCAATGATGGCGAGAGAAGGTGTGACAATTCACCACTCACTTCTCGATGTGAAGATGGTAAAAAAAGTAAAGGTAATTCATCAGTTACCTGCCCCCAAAAAAATAACATAATTATTCAAAAATCAACAATATAATGTTAAATCTTCTCGGAAGCAAACTAAAATATATTAGCTGAAGTAATGTTCATTACATGTGATTCTATTGAGTTGTTCCCTATGCTGAATGCTTCAACTGCAACAGAAAATAATAAATAAAAGTAATAAGTCAATAGGGGAAAAAGGAAATACCATGCACTGACTCTTGAATATGTCACCCATAACTTTATTATGAAACACCCAAGTTATCAGTGGTTTACTATTTTTACTCGTCTTCTATTCATATCAAATATCAAGAATTTAGGGATATCATCAAGGCTTCTAATGGATAAATTGGGGCAATCATATGAAAATTGTCTGCTATCAGCAAATAAAATATCAAGTCTCGTTTAACTTGCTATCGATAAATCATATACAACTAGGCAGGGTTGGCAACATGGTACAATCCTTATCCCATCAAACTTTATAGGACAAATATGAAAACAAAGTTCATCAGGCAATGCACATGTATATAAAATTTATGAAAATACATATGTGCAACAAGACAAATTCAATGTTTTGTAGGTCCTTCAATTTAAAATCCTTTAATGTAGCTAATGAGGCACACCAAGAAACATACCAGGAGTAAATTCATCAGGCAGCTGATTCATTTCTTCATTCATGGAATTCCCTGCTTCTTGAGAAGCATTATATCCTTGTGTGGCTTCTTGGCCATGTGTGTCCTGCAATTATATCCAAGAAGAGTGAGATTTGAACACAGTATTGCATCAGTAAACCAACTTGAATTAGACCTCAATTAGAGGGAGAAGTGTAACCTACATGCACTTGCACCCGTTCTCTAAAGAAGCCAACATCATAGTTGAGTGACCACCACTCCAGCAAAAATCCTTCTGGTACATCCATTGCTGAAAAAATCAGTTCCATATTTATCAGTCACAAAAACTGCCACACAATAATTAATAATTCCTGACATAATTTAGAACATTGAAGTATAGAATTAATGCATAAGCTTCAATAGTATTTTGATGAAAGAACAAAAATTACTGAAGAGAAACTACCATAAAGAAATTCTTGCAAAGAATATTTACAATTTTAATCAGTAAATTAAAAAGAAAAGAAAAAAAGATCATCACAATAGAAAATACCCTCTATAATAGGTACTCCCATTAATAAGTTCATTGTAAAATCCCAGAAATGCATCATGGATATGACAATTTAGACTACATTATTCAAAATAAAGTGTAGTTTCATCTGTTTAATGAAAAAATCATAGCATTTGTCTCTAATCACTGTGTTAGGATCCAATTGAAAGGTATGACACTTGAGTCCCACATTGAAAGTATGGAATTCTAGTGTGCGGATTATAACCCAGGACTCTCAAACTACAATGACTAACTTTTGTGGTGTGGTGCTCCCAAAGTTCTTGTCAATTGATATTTGAGCTTTTCACCAGCTACAAACGAGCAGTGCATGTGTTGACAACATTCCAATGCACCATAACAGAAAAACTTGTCTCTTGGTGGATTGAGATCATCGGATGTTTGGCGTGTTGGAAAAGAAATCCGAACACACAATTAAACATGACCTTGTCATATGAAATTTTAACATGAAAGGATTAATTTCTATAGCTTTCATACTTTTGGCATGATCGTGGATTTTTTTAGCATATACACAAATGCCTAACACCCTTAGTGAGCTTATCTGTTCATCTAAGGGGTGAAAGGGGATAGCTGGGAGGGGAAATTTCATAAGAGGGAGAAACAATGAATGAAAACAATAAATGTAATTTTGGACTGTGATGATTTAATATGTATGAATTCATTTTAAATACATTATTTACCTTTATAACCGTATCATAAATTCTTAAAATATTAATTGCATATCGACATATTTGATGACGTTGTCAAACTTGTATCCACTTAAGGATTTGACTTGTCTACAATTAAAAAAAAGTTTGCAGCAACATACAATTGCTGTCACACGGTTTATAAACTTAGCTCCTCTAAGATCCACTTACTCAGATGATAAGAGTAAATTCATAACTCTTGATTAAAAACTTAAGAGTTGAGATTTTCACAACTACATGATTTGTGTTCCATGTGCATGTATATTATCCAATTTCAACATTTGAATTTTCAATTAACTGTTAATGCACTTTCACAAGACAAAACCTACCATTTACATTAAAGGAAATTATACAATAACTTTTTTTTTTACCATCTGAACTAATTGTGTTACTTTCTCATTCCTTGAAGACAGACTTTCTCATAAGATCTACAATGCTAGAAAATCAAATCAGCTGTCGGCATTTTCTATTAAGAAATTATTATATGGTGCAGGACCATGCGGTCCCAAGACTCCCAACCATCTCCATATAACATGATATTAACTCTTCTTTTTTTGTTTGATAAGGAGGTATTACTCCTTCTCACCAGCTTGGGTTGACTCCTATAATAATAAAGTGATACATGGTGACATGCCTAAGACGAGAATTGAACTCCGATATTTGGTTAAAGAATACAAGTGTCAAACCACTTGAACCGATGACTTTTGTCGATTAACTCTTTTTGTAAATTGAAAAAAGTGGTTATGTAAATTAGGACAGTGTTGGTTCAGATTTAAAAAAAAAAAAAAAAAAAAACCAAACCAAACCACTTTATGAAAATGATTTGGTTCAAATGGAACCGTTAGTCAAACTAAATCATAATGGTTTGGTTTTCTCTCTAAATGGTTCCAGTTAGGTTCAATTTAAGGACCATGTAATAATTTCTCTTTGCTATCTCCTTTCCTGTCTCTAATTAAAAAAAAAAACAAAAAATCAATTTCCATGACAAACTACTGAGTACAACCAACAAGAAGAAAAATGTGTCATTTTTCAATTTGGGGGACACGAAATGGGTAGGGTTGATTTCATTCCGAATGCTAGACCCTGAACAAGTATAACTTACCATGATAGCCTTCCAATCAATTCAACAACACCCGAGTAATTTCTTGTACTAAAACATCACAAAAATAAAAGTAAGACAAAAAACTTTACCAAAAATGGCAAATATCATGCACAGAGAAATCTACCCACAAGAGCAACCAAAGCATGAACCACACAGAAGAAACAACCAAAAAACCAATAAATAAATAAGTTTAAATATCTCGGTCCTTCTATTATTAAAAGAGTCAATTTGCTATAAAATGATGCAATGTAGTCCTTTTAGTCCAATTGAGACTAATTACGTTAAATCTGTGTATATGTAGGACGAAATAATGACAACATTTCATAGCTTTTTAAAATCAAGAGACCAATTTAAACATTTTAAGCACCAAATTACATCAATTTATGCGATCTTAAAATAATATTTGATCAATAAAAATCAGCATTAAAATAATATTTGATCATGAAAATTTCTCTTAAAGTATAAATTAGTCTTTAATCATCAAATTTAAGATCATATTATGTCGATTCATGTAGTATTAAAATAATATTTAGTTAATAAAAATCAATATTAAAATAATATTTAGTAAATGAAGATATCTTTCTTTCAAATGTAAACTATTCCTTAATTGTATGATTTAAGATACCGTAGAAAACACATCTAAAAAAATTGAACCAATTAAACAAAACGTGGGTATACCATCACTTGAAGGAGCATCGGGATCCATCTGAAGATCGACCTCCTTCCTGAAAACCTCAGCAGTGTGTTGCATGTTTCTTTTGACAAGATAATCATACACGTAACGATCAAACCTTCAAAAACCAAGGCAGAAAAAAGTGATGATGAGAAAAACAACCACGACCCAGAAAAGAAAAAAAGCAAAAGGAGGGAAAATGATACGTTTGGCGAGTGCTCCAGTCTGGTTCCATGGCTTGAAGGTTGGTGAGTGAGTGAGAGAAGAGAATGAAAGAGAGAAGAAGCAAAAGAAAAAATGAAGAGAGAGAAAAGAGTTAAATGAGCATTGGCATTGGCAAAGAAACGTTTTGTTGAATGAGGTGTTAGTGATGAGAGATGGTGAAAGAGTGCAATGTGTAAGTGTAAGGTTCCATGCAGCCAGCGAAGTTGAGGAAACAAAATTAATTCAAACGAGTCACAGACTCACAAACGGTTCAACTCGCCTGCGGTGTGCGTTACCGTAGAATCGCAACGCAGTGTTGACTATTCACAATAATCTACCATTTTTTCTGTCAAACTCATTATTACACTGCATTTTTATCATTAATATTAAATGAATATATTTGCTCTCTCATCTTTAATGACTCAGTTATAAATTTGCCACTTTAATAGGGTTGAAAAAAATAGCCTAGAAACTAGTAATAATTCTTCTGTCTCAGCCATACTTTTAAGGTTTTTATTATGAGAATCATGTTCACACACAAGGTAGAATCCAAAAATTAATAATTAAAAATTAATTTATATTTATAAATTGCATTTTTTATTTATTAAATATTATTTTAATATTAACCAGAATCACATATGTAGGTATTTGTTTGTTCAATTTCATATCTCTAAACAACTGATAGTCATAAGATCAAACAACTTAGTGTTTTTTTAATACAATTTTATTAAAATAGTTATTATCTCAATAAATATATTAATTATAATTAAAAATTATATAATTTATAAAGAAGTAAATTAAAAAAAACAATTAATGTTATATTAAAAAGTAAGAATATAAATAATTTTGAAACATTTTTCAAGTATTAAAATTTCACTCATTATATATAAAATGAAGATAACATTTTTCTCGAGTAAAATATGCATAAAGTTCATTAGACAAGAATGAAAACCTACAAAATAAACATGTTGGAATAGTTTGAATTTGGTTAAAAATTCAATTCAAACCAATTAAATTTAATTAGTTTGAATTTCATAATTTTTTTTTAATCTAAATCGAACCAATCCAATATTAATTGAGTTGGTTTGATTCAGGCCATTGAATATTTAATTATTTTTTTAAGAAAAATTAGATTAAAAAATATTTTTTTTCTCAAAGTAAATATAATTTTTAATATTAACTAAATTGATATATTGTCAAAAATTAACTAAATTGATAGATTTGTAATATATTTCTTCTTGATTTCTTTTCTTAATCTACTTAAATATTTCAAATGTACTACATGTGAAAATGATAATCAATATTTTACAATATAATTTTTCTTGATTTCTTTAAGTATTTGAAAAGCAGAATGAAAGATTTTATATATATTGTAACATAAAAACTTTTTAAAATAATCAAAATGATACATAAATACATATTAATTGTTAATCAAAAATAAAAAAAATAATATTAATTGGTTTGGTTTGGGTTGGTCTAGATTTTAAATGTGTAATTGTGTAAATCCGATACCCGAATCAATCAACATCAAAGTTTAATTAGTTTTGTTTAGGTTGGACTCAAACAAAAAAAATCTAAACCAATTTAATTGTCGGATTCATCAAGTTCAGGTTTGGTTAGAGTTAGTTTAAATTTCAAATGTGTAAATTCGATATTCAAACCAATTATTAAGGGGGGTGTATTGGATTAGGATTTTAAAAGACTTTTTTAGTTAAAAAAAATCTTGCGGATTTTAAAAGACTTTGCAGTATTTTCATGACTTTTAAGATTTTGCAGAATTCTACAATACTTAAAATCAAGATTTTAATAGATTTTGCAAGAATTTTAAATCAGGATTTTAATGGATTTTGTGGGATTTTGTAGAATTTTCGTGCATTTTTGACATATGATAAGATTTCAAAAACAATTTCATACATTCAAATTTAAAAAGAGTCAAAGACAAAAATAATAAAAAACAACAATGTCTAGATAAATAATAATAATAATAATAATAATAATAATAATAATAATAATTCTCCATAATATCATATCCTCTTAAATAGCATTCACCCACATATCCATAGCTATACTAGTCCTCAAAGCATTAACGTCTTCTCGCTTTTACTCCTAGGTTTGAATAATAGCCTCAAATATGATCTTCATTAACCGGCAATGTTGAAGATGAAGGTCCATCCACCGCTTCAATTGGAAATTCATCAGAATGACATTCTTTACGTAGAAAGTTATGTAGTGTTGCACATGCTAACACAAGTTTGTTAAGTCTCAATTTTACCTCTTTTTGGATGAGACTTATTGAACAAATTTCACTCATCCTTTGAACCATTGCAATATAATTGTTCTCTTTTTGGTTCATTTTGTGTGCAGATATAACTAACCCAAATTTAGCTAACAATACCTTAATACACCTCATTTTTGTGCAGGTATTGAGCTAGAGAAGTGAGGATTGAAGATTCTTAGGATTGGGAATCCAAGAGGCTAAGGAGCAGAGAAGAAATTGCGCCGGGCGCAAGATGACTCGCGCCAGGCTTGAAAAGAACAGAGTCTGGAAGCCATGGCGCCGGGCGAGAGAATACACGCGCCGGGCATGGTCGAGACAGAGAGTGCATGAAACTCTCTGGAAGACATCGCGCCGGGCGTAAAAGAAAATTGCGTCGGGCTTACACTGAGGCAGAAAGTGCACAGAAGAGTCTGCGCCGTGCGCGAAGACTTACACGCCGGGCGCGAAACCCTAATCTGATCTCCCTGGCTCGTATTTGAAGCCATTTTCGGGGGAGAAACCCCCATTCTCACATTGGGCGCCTCCAGGAGTTGCGGAAGGGATTCCCAGGGCTTGGGATCGTCTGTGTGCGGATCTTTCCTTCGGTTCTTCACTTCCTCTTCCATCTCTATTTTGTATTTGCCCTCTTTGTTGAGTGGTTTCACCCATTTTGTGGGGTTAGATGTA